CAAACTCACTGTCTAAGGAACACACCAAGAAAAATATCCTCAATGGAGAAATTTTTCTTTCTCACCCTCATAGACGGCAATGGAAGAAGCCTATTGAGAAGAAAAGACTTTTAAGGTCTATGGTGAGAATCTCGGCAGTAGAGAAGGTCTATGGTGGAAATCTCGTATTTTTCAGTATTAGACCATACACCTTCTCTGGAACAACACTCTCTCTATCTTTCTTCTTATTTTGAGAGATGTGTTGCTTCCAAGATCTTAAATATCCACTTTGGATATTAAAGATCTATCAAACGCAACGCCAATTGCTCTGCCAAGCAGAATCTGCTGAAGCTGAAAACAGTCAATGGCGGAAGAGATCACAAAATCTCAAGACAAAACTTGGTTTAGAAATTATTGTAATTTGAATTGTATTTGTTTAAGAGTTTTTGTTAACAAGCTGTATATTATGAGAAACTAAAAGAAAGTTACAAAATTAGTTCTCAGTACAGCGACCGAAACTCTTAAGCACTTGTTTGTCATCATCAAAAAGGGGAAATTGTTGGGAAAAATATCATAGATTTTGATGATGATGTATTTAGAATGTAATAGGGACTTTAGGTCTCCCCCAATATTCAATGTAATTTTTCTTTTTAGAAATATTGTTAAAACCAAGTTCTTGAGTTTTCCAATAAGGTTGTGATATTTCTTTAAGCGTTTTGATGCCTAAAGACTTAATCAAATTCAGTGATATGGAAATTGGATATCTTAATCGGAAAACCTAGAGACAAGTAAGGATTTCTCAAGCAGATGAAAATCCTCTGTTCCGGAAGACTACATAAGAACCGGATGTCTCGCTACAACCCGCTGAAGGCTAAGTCACCCAAATCGGAAGACTAGCGCGGATCTCTCTCTCACCCAGAAGTCTGAGAATGACTTCTCTGGATTTGTCAGCTAAGAACCGGATGCCTCAAGGAAGACCAGAATTCTCAAAAAATGGACAAGTGAGAAAAGACTTAGAAAATTATCTAAGTCTTGAATGAAGAAATTCTACCCGTTGGTAAGGAAAAATCAATCTCTTGATTTTCAACGGCTAGATTGAAGATAATTATGCTGATTCAAGAACAAATGACTCGAAGACAAAGTCTGAATCTCTAAAAATTGAAGAACCTGTCAAGAATTCCTAAACAAGCACTAGAAGACAAACAGAGTAAAGTGCTACAGTCTTGAATTCTTGAACAACGGCTAGAAGACAGACTCTGTGGAAGAAGGAATCCTTTCTCAACAATTGAGTACGTCCAAACACCCACTTCAACGAAGAATCTTCAAATCACAATCTTCATTTAAAATTGAAGCTAGCAGATGCAACGGATAATCTATTATGATTCAACGGATAGATTATCCAATCTAGCTATAAATAGCATCCTTGGAAGACTGAAGAAAAAAATGGATGAGATACGTTGATACAACAACACAACGAAGCAATCACTAAAGCTATCTCATTCACAGTTAGCCTAAAAAGCTTGATAAAGAGAGATTTCTAAAATCCTTACCGAGAAGCAAACTTCTCCTCCTTCCAAAAAGCTATAGTGTAAACACTTGAAGGTTTCCTTGCCTCAAGCACCACACCACGTTGAAGGATATTACTTTTGATCAAACTTATTGATTAAAAGGGGGTAGGTCAACTCTCTTACAAGTTGATCTTGCAAGTCCTATTGTTCGGATCATGCAGTTGTTGAAGAAGCTTGACCTTCGAAGGAACAACAAAGCCAGCACGAGTGCAGTAGCAACATTGGTCTTGTGAAGATATACCGTGCAGAAATTCACACAAGTGTAATTGTTGGTTCATTATTCAACAACCAACTACATAGTGGATTTTGAGGACGTAGAAGGATTACCCCACCTTCAAACCTCGTTAAAGTTTGC